CCAAAAAAAAAAAAAACCAGCCAAACTCCACCCCAAACACACACACACACACAACGAAGAAAAAGAGACACAATGTCATCTCGAACCATTCAAAATCTACATGCAGAAGGAACAGGCAGCAGAGTATAGGAAAAATCCCCCACAAAAAAAAAGTGGGAAGATATGAAATAGTTGAAGAAGTAATAATCCCTCGATGCAAATTATTTCTCATTGGTCTACTCGTACAACAAGAGAATAGCGTAATCAGAGCTCCAATTCATGTTAGAATTTCACAAACAAATGCTACAGTTACATATGAAGAGGAAGGGTTAAGCTTATAGATTAGTAAGGGTAACAAACATCAATTACGTCCGCCTACAGTTAGAATCCCAAGGGACTTACAAGAGATCTTTCTGCCGAGAGTAAACACAGCAAAATATTCTTGAAATTGATATTTCTCAACTGTTACTTTCATCGGCATGAGACTGCAGATGTGGTGCAATGCAATTGTTCTCCAGTTTGGAGACTGCATCTGGTCCGCATAATCTAGTTACTTCTTCCTGTTTCAGCAGCAAGATCACCCACATAATTTTGATAAAGACCAAGCCAGGCACCGAGAAGTTTCACCAAAATGGAATAGGCAAAAAAATAAAATTAGTGGCAGCACATAAAAGAAATCAGAGGCAGTAAGTAGGGGGAAAAGGGAAAGTGAGGGTGGCTGTTGGATAGTAAACCTTGATGGAATTATTTTCCGAAGTAATCTTCTCGCATTCCTCAGAAAGCCTTTGCAGCTCATCTCTGAGCACGAGATTCTCATTGTTCAATGTCTCTACTCTTTGCTGTAGGTCTTCACACTCAGCCTGACAAGAAAAAGAAATGATATGTTATTCCAACATAATGATGAAATTTGAAGACATGAAATATATGTAAAGTCAACAAGTGCACTTGTTACATTTTTCTGTTCATAATAAACCCTATATTCGCATAGCAGAATTTTCTTCTCCTCATTGTTCTATGGATTTAAATCTTGTTTTATTCCTCTGATTACAGCTTTACAACTTCCAGTGAGAATGGTCCACACAGTAATAGCAAATACAGTCCACATGTAATCACTTGATGGTTGTTTCCAGTAATCTGAAAAAACCATCGTATTTTTCAAAATCTTCATGATCACCAATCCCACATTATTCTCCCAACAGAACATCACCAGAAACATTCATCAGTCTAGCAGTTACATCAGCAGGCTGTGGATCCATGATTGCACCTTTTGCAATATCTAAAAGTAACTAACAAATATAAACTGGAAACTGATCAGGTCTTCACATAATCAGATCCTTTAAGTAGCTGAAAAATGGCATAAAAGACAATTAGAGTTGCCGTGAGAAAAACAAACTCCACAGATTCTCCAAGTTGCAAGAAATTCTTCATAATCAAAAGACTCTGACCAACGCTTACAGAATTCATTCATCAACTAAAAACCACAAAAGTTAAGTCACAGCACTCGAGCCCTACACATATAGTGAGGCTTCTTTCATGAACAAGTGGTCAATTTATCCCATCCTCATTCTTGCAAATTGGATCACACAAAACATTGTGTTGATAAATACTATGCATGTCCAGTGTACGTTCCCATAAGTTTCCATATTGATCAAAATTTTGACAGGCAAACAGCAAGAATAACAAAAAGAGAAGAAGACAAATCGTACCTGCTTGCGCAATCTTGACCTCCTAGCTGACTCCCTATTGGATTGCTTCCTCTTTTGTCTTTTCAGTTCCCGTTCATCCTGTTAATTTGAAAGTTTCAATTCCATGAAAATTCATTTACATATAGGTAGGAATGGTCGACAGCCTAGATTTTAATGTTATGAATCCCTCAATTCCAAACGTGTGCATCATATAAACAGACGAGTTAAAACACAGCCATCCTCTTGGGAAAGCTCAACAAAATACAAAGAAAAATGTATTTGATGCAGTAATTCCCCACATAGGCAGAGGATGTCTAACAGATGGTACACCACCATGGCCCTAAGAAGGCATTGTATGGGCTGGTGATCGGAAGGGTTTGCTAGTTTAAGTCTAGTTTGTCCTCATGACTCCAATCCATGTTTCAGTAAAAAGGTGTAACCACACCACAACATTAACGAACAGGTTTTTCTCACAATAATATTGTATAAAACCAACCAAGAGAGAAAACAGAATTGAAAAATAATGGCAAGGCTTCATACTTGAACCCAGTGGTGATCGGGCAACATGCCTTCACGTGCAGTCATTGCTGCTGGAACAGCAGGTGGTGAGACACCAGAAGAATTTGGTCGCATCTTCACAGCTCCAGTGCCAGCAGGGGACCCATTCCATAAGTCCATTCCAATATTCAGATTAGTTGCAGGCATAGAGACAACTGGATTCCCAGGCACTGATGCCTGGAGAGTTGCTCCAGCAGTGTTACTCTGTGCATTGGCTGCTGACCATTTTACAAAATTACAACATTATTACGGTAATTTAGAGAGCCAAAACCAATACATTGAAGGCGCTGAAAATACCATCTGCAAGCATCTGGCCAAAGCTTCCTTTCGTACTACTAGCAAATTCCTGAAGAGTCAAATTGGATTCATTCTAATATGACCACAGAAAAAATATCACATCACATTTCTGACCGTACTAAGGGGAAAAGCCGACTCTTTTTGTTAGGATCTACTTCAGGGGTAGCACACACAAGAAAACATGCTATTAGCACAGTGAAGAAGTAAACTCACGCCTACATTAGTCTAAAAATAGAAGGCACATACATGTTGGTTGATATTATCATCACTTGAATCAGATGAACCCTCACTTCCACTTTCGGCACTGTAAACAGCTAAATTCTACAGTCAGAACAATCAAAAACAAGGGATACGCCTTGGCTCAAAAAAGGCAATGAAGACTGGAAGTAATCTGAAAACATGCAAAGAAAACAAATAATCTAGCACTAAATTTAGGTTAGCAAACCTTTGAGTTGTACCATCATTTCCTGAACCTGAAGCTCCATTCCCAATTTCTCCAACCCTGCCACCATTCAAGCCAGCATTTCCTGAAGCTACCTTGGGTTTTTTGTTTGAAGCCCGGTCCTTCCCCTCGGTGGCTTTACCTTCAGATTCGGGGTTTGTCTGTGCTGTGCTTGATATCTAGCAAAGGAATGTCAAAAAGTAAAAATAAAAAAATAACAAATGAAATAAGATTACAATATTATGATAAAATCCAATAGATCCAAAGGATAAACTTCATTTTTGCAGAAATATTTGAAAATGAACATCATACACTTTCAACTGAAACAGCTCTGATCATATGAGGAAATTAAAGAGAAAACCAACTTCTGACGAGAACATGAACTCAACATCAAATATCAAATGATCACAACAAAAAAAAAAAATCTTGATTACCACGGCCAAATTAGGATGGACATAAATTCCCCCAGGAGGATATAAAGCAGGATATGGGATAGGGGTCCCATATGGTGGCATTAAAGGATGCTGTAAAGTCATTAACAGAAAAATCAAAATAAGAACTATGTCCCACGAACGAATTATGAAGCCATACCACTATCAAACAATGCACAACTCCATGCAACCTCAACACAAAAATGAATAGACTAAAAGAAAATAGATAAACACCTGGCTTCCCCACATATACGGATGGGGAGTGGGAGAAGCAACAGTTGAGCCAAAAAAGGGGGGAGTAGCTCCAGCACCATAATAAGCCTAAACAAGAAAGTAAGTTATCAGCAACCAAGATAATCTAGTTACATTTACATATGCATCCAAGAAGACACACCAAAAAAATAAATAAATAAACCCATGGTGTTTCATCACAAACCTGCATAGAGCTTGACCAATCAGGATAAGAAGGTGTTGTTGGTGTCTCCTGAAAAATAAGAAAGAGAATGAGGAAAACACTTGAAAATCATGAACATACATATGTATATATAGAACAAGAGAAAGGACCTGAGTTGAAGAAGTATGTTTGGAAGGTTTAGCAGGTGTGCTCTCTTCTCCAGACCCCATTATATAATAGAAAATAAACTCAGTAATCCAGCTCAACTGTTGCAGTATGTGACAAGTTCTCCTATATTTCAATTACAACCTATGATCCACCTGTGGACATCAAATTAAGCAGGAAGACAGATCAGAATTTGCACATCATTCTACTTTGTTAAATATTTGCCATTAGTAGCATTCAAAAGGATAACAAACATGAAACATCTAAGATGAGTTGGAACAAAGTTATTCAAACCTTGTATCCAAACAGACGCTGCTAGTGTGAGTGTTAATATAATCACCAAAACATTTCATGTATTTGAAACATTTATTTCGTCTCTTTATGTTTCAAAACTGTTTATAAGATAGTGGACAGAGTATCTTGCAGAAAGTCACTTCACTTTAATATTTGCAAAGTAAGCATCTTCAAAACAGGGAGTGCATTTTTGGCAAGTAACACGGTGGAATTTCAAAAATAAGATCTCTCCCTCCCCACAAATTGCATTTACAATATTTCAAATGATATGAACAAGATCAAGATTTTGCAAATAAAACCTACACGTGAATTCATGAGTAAATGTATTGGCAACAAATACCTACACAAGAAATTTATGATGGCTTGTTGTAAGTTGTAACCCTCACCATTTTGGCACTGTGGATTAAAATCTTGTTTAAATGTCTCATTTCCATCAGCATGGAACTAGCAATGATACGAAAATTTGTTGAAAACAGTGAAAAATATTCAGAGATGTGGAACCATAAACTTAAACTATTTACTCCTAAACATAAACTCAATCAATGAACTTCTTGCTCGATCAATGATTAATTGACTACATCAGAGGCACACACCCCCATCCAATGAAAGGATATTGGTATCAAATGGAGCAAAAAGAAGCAATGTGAACAGAAAGCAATAAAAGTAACGATAGAAAATAAATGGCAACAATAATTCGTTTGATCAGTTATATTGTTACAACTCAACTCACCCCAACATAGCATTGTCCCAACTATTTGGGAACGACGAAACTGTGTGATTGACTACATGAATTTTATTCCGTTATTGTGTTCCATCTTGTATATTCGATGCAATATTAATCAGATTTACTATATTGCTATAACAACAACTTTTGAGTGTAAAATTACACAAAAAGTTGTCAAATTACAATCGTTTGATACTTCGAATTTGATTACAAGAACTGACGTTGACTCTAAAGGTTCTCAATTGATTTGATAAAGACACAAGCCAAGTTGACCTATTTCTCGATCTTTGGTTGATGATGCCTTTGGTGCATCCCTAAACCACCCTTTGTGATGACCGGCTTGAAGATGTTTGAAGAATCTCTTGATGAAGGACCTTGAAGGTGTATTCTTCTTATCTACAAGAGTTTGGTTAGAGTTGAACTTAGGCAAAGCTTCATTGATATGCCCTTCTCTATTTTTCTCATCTGTTGGCCGAGTTATGCATATGACATAACTCGAGAATTACCTTTCCCATGCCTATCCCTGCCCCCACTCCAATTAAGACAAAAGAAGTAAATATGACATTATACTTATATCCGATATTGAGTAGATTTAAGGACCTAGTAAGATTTTCGGGATTTCTTGAGTTGCCCAACCTAGTACATTATAATTGTACAAGACCCAAGCAAAACAAGGTTACATATATCATCACAGCTGCCTACTATAGATTCATAAATCGCATGGCATAACATCCAAACCCAATATGCGTTCATCTAGGTGTTACCAGAAATATACATCGAATGTTCTTGAAGCATTATCGATGGATATCTTATTCATAATCATAAAACCATAAATAACATTAAAGCCTAACCAATAGTTGGTGAAATAGCAGGACTAGATTTGGGCATTAACCATATTTCAGAAAGACATACCAAGTAGGAGCTAAAATCAAGAGAAAAGAAAAGAAAGGAATAGTTATATAAGAGCAAAGTCAAAAGATAGTAAAAACAGAAACCTAAAGGAACACATCAGCCTGCAAAAAGGAAGAAGAAGATTGCACTCCTAATATAGTTTGAGTACAATGACAAGCAAGACTCTTTCCCTTTCGTCTCATTTTTCAAAACGAACCAAAATGTTACTTCATTCACAGCCCACGATTCTTGACCTCCAAGTAACAAATATAATCCTAAAGCAACACATCAGACCAAAAACAGGAAGAAGAAGATTGCATACCTAATACATTTCAAGCATCATGGCAGGCCAGATTCTTTCTCTTTTGCCACCTCCCTTCTTATCAGAATTTAGATATGTTAAAAGAAATAGAAGCTTAAAAAATAATGATGCTCATTGTTCGCAATCATTTTGTTCAAAACCAATGTTTTTTGACTTGTGAATACTTCTTCGTTTTTGTGGGCTTCAAAACTGCAACGAGACTCAAAATCTCATACTAAAGAGCGTGGATGTTCGAGTCCTCTTCAAGGCATAATATTAATATTGAGAATGCTCATTAAATGAGCAATTCAATAAGAGAGTTCAGATCAAATCGGTATATTGTTTTGATCAGAACAAAACAAAATTTAACCATTGCTTATGGCTATCTGTTGACCCTCTAATTGCTATTACATTATCCAACACTGAAATTCTTGTACTACAAATGCAGGCTTACAGCTGCAAAACAACTATAAATCAGGGTTTAGAGAATTTCATTCAGCTTATACCACTTTTAAGGACTATGAGCTTATGTCAATTGTGCTACAAATTAATACACTCCGGATAAGCAAAAGACTGTACCACTCAAGGTTATCAAATGACAAATATCTCTCCTGTCTTTTTTTTTTTTTTTAAGCCATCTTGTCTTATGCATGAGGCAACAATTACCAGAATAATAGAATCAATGACGTTAGTTTTTTTCTCTTTCTTTTTCTTTCAAGTGAAATTAGCAATTGTATATGTTGAACTCAATCAGATGACAAATATCTCTCTTGTCTTTTTTTTTTTTTTGGGTTTAAGCCATCTTGTCTTATGCATGAGGCAACTATTACAATTACCAGAATAATAGAATCAATGACGTTAGTTTTTTTCTCTTTCGTTTTCTTTCAAGTGAAATTAGCAATTGTATATGTTGAACTCAATCGGGTTATGAATTTAATTTATACTTCATCATCTTCGATCAAGAAGAAGGAACAAAAATCAAATTCGCATATGTTCGGCTTCCTGTCTTCTTTAGACCACTGACCAACAATTCTTGAAGAACAGAGCTCATAAAACACGAGTCTGTAAAAGATCATTCGTTAATCACAACGAAAGTGAGGCCTAGAGAACTAAAAAAGAAGGATCGTCTACAACACCATATTGTTTCCAATTTTACACACCAAATTCAACCCTAATTTTGTTAGAAAAAGCATCAGAACTTCAAGATCCGGAGCTTAATTCTTCGAATATAAACCAAAAAATCCAAGCAAAACGACAGTAAAAAAAACTGCTGTGTATTTACAAGCGTAAATTATGGAGAGAACAAGGATAAAAGTGGAGGAGAAAGAAAGAGGGAAGGAGGGACTGACCTGGTTATGAGGGAGGAGTGAGGTGGAAGGGGCAAGTCCATGTGGGACGGAACAATCTCACCCCTTTCTAATTTACTTTGTGTGTGCTCAGTGGAAATAGGAGAGAGAATGGGAGATCTAACGGCCAATAAGGCTAAGCTAGGGTTTGTTTGTACTTTTTTGTACTATCAACCAAATCTCCGCGGTTCAGAATATCCAAAAGGCTTTGTTGAGAGAGAGAGAGGGGGGAATTTGTTTGTGGTCTGTTGTTGGTGTGAGTCGACGGAGAGGAGAGGAGAGGAGAGGAGAGGAGGGGAGAGTAGGGTTTGGGAAGGTGACACGTGAGGGGGAAGGGGATGCCAGGTGTTAAAGTATAAGTGGATAGGCGTGACTAGGAACAAAGTTCCTTTGATGACTCAGGACAGCTCAATGGATAACTTACTTTAATTCTCTCTCTCCCCCCCCCCCGGGGCAAAGGTCGGAGGAAATATAAAAAATGTCATGCATTTAAAAAAAAAAAAAAAATTAATCAAATGAGTTAACATTTTTATATTATTTATTTTTGGTTTTTATACCACGAATGATTAATCACGGAATATAATTGTTATATCCAATATTTTCTCCAAGTGTTGAAAATATGCCAACAATATGATTAGTTGAGTGTTAAAACCTTTCTGTCGCCGCATCACAAGAAAATTTCATCAAATATTATCGATTTTATTTGTGGGTCATATCAAATCATCCACAATTATATTCGGTCCACTGAATCTTGTAAATTGTGGTTAGATCAAAGGTATAATCAGAATAATATTTGATCATATTACACCTGCGTACAAATTTCAACTTAAATGGTAATTATATTTTTTTTCATTAGAAATTCGCCCACTAAGATTTTGAATTTGAAATTTAAAATTTATAATTAAACATATTCTCTTAAATAAAAGTATTTGTGCTTGAATAGCAAATGAAGATTATCTCATGAAAATCATATATTGATGAGATAGTTCTATCAAGTGAAAATGTTCTTAATGAAATTATAATTTTAATTGGTTCAAGATCAAGATACCAGTTGATGGGGGTAGAAACACTCGAGTTATTAATTTATCCCGTAAATTACTAAAGGTTTATGCAACCCATAACATATTAATCATAGAACTAAACTGACATTAGTAAAAAATATTTTAGATGCACGTAGTTTTAAGTTAATGTTAGATAAAAAAAAAATTCGATTATAATTTTTCATGTGATGACCCAAGACGAGACAATACTTATGATATTTCAGCATTGGAAACACATTACATTATGGCAGCAAAAGTCACTGACCACTAAACATATTAGTTTCACAATGAAAATGCAGAAATAGGACTGTTGGAATTTATTAAATTTGATCGAATAAAGGGTAGAAACCAACTGAGTTGAGGGAATGGAAGCAACTTGATATTATCTAATACATTTCTTTCTTTTTCTCCTATGATTTCTATAATTTTATATACAATGTCCATAATGACAAATGCAAACTCGATTGTAATGCATGATCCCTTTTGTTCTACATGTATGAGAATGAAGAAACAAATGTTTACAAAAAAACTCAGAATCTACCACCACGACGAGTCTCTCAGCCCCATCAGAAACAGTCACCTAAGCAATGCAGGAATCGGCGGCATCGGCTCTTGGTCCTCCACTTGTTCTTGTCACACTTGTTGGTTAGATGAACAGTGCCTGGAGAGTCTTCTGTTATTATGATCTTTGGATGTTCAACCTCAAACAGCTTCGGTGGTGTGGTCTGCGGTGGACACATGAAGTGGAGGAAGTTTGAAAGGAAGTCTGTGATTTGGATGAATTCTGGTCGGTCCGATGGGTCTTCTGCCCAACAGGACTGCAANATAATCAGAATAATATTTGATCATATTACACCTGCGTACAAATTTCAACTTAAATGGTAATTATATTTTTTTTCATTAGAAATTCGCCCACTAAGATTTTGAATTTGAAATTTAAAATTTATAATTAAACATATTCTCTTAAATAAAAGTATTTGTGCTTGAATAGCAAATGAAGATTATCTCATGAAAATCATATATTGATGAGATAGTTCTATCAAGTGAAAATGTTCTTAATGAAATTATAATTTTAATTGGTTCAAGATCAAGATACCAGTTGATGGGGGTAGAAACACTCGAGTTATTAATTTATCCCGTAAATTACTAAAGGTTTATGCAACCCATAACATATTAATCATAGAACTAAACTGACATTAGTAAAAAATATTTTAGATGCACGTAGTTTTAAGTTAATGTTAGATAAAAAAAAAATTCGATTATAATTTTTCATGTGATGACCCAAGACGAGACAATACTTATGATATTTCAGCATTGGAAACACATTACATTATGGCAGCAAAAGTCACTGACCACTAAACATATTAGTTTCACAATGAAAATGCAGAAATAGGACTGTTGGAATTTATTAAATTTGATCGAATAAAGGGTAGAAACCAACTGAGTTGAGGGAATGGAAGCAACTTGATATTATCTAATACATTTCTTTCTTTTTCTCCTATGATTTCTATAATTTTATATACAATGTCCATAATGACAAATGCAAACTCGATTGTAATGCATGATCCCTTTTGTTCTACATGTATGAGAATGAAGAAACAAATGTTTACAAAAAAACTCAGAATCTACCACCACGACGAGTCTCTCAGCCCCATCAGAAACAGTCACCTAAGCAATGCAGGAATCGGCGGCATCGGCTCTTGGTCCTCCACTTGTTCTTGTCACACTTGTTGGTTAGATGAACAGTGCCTGGAGAGTCTTCTGTTATTATGATCTTTGGATGTTCAACCTCAAACAGCTTCGGTGGTGTGGTCTGCGGTGGACACATGAAGTGGAGGAAGTTTGAAAGGAAGTCTGTGATTTGGATGAATTCTGGTCGGTCCGATGGGTCTTCTGCCCAACAGGACTGCAAGAGAGGAGCAATATCCTTTGGAATGTTATCAATGCTAGGCCTCAAGTTCTGGAAGTAAAAGAAAAATTCATTACAAGATATATATAACCACGCAGCCACACGCAACAAACTCTATTTACTACCAAGTAAACATGTCAACGCATAAAGTATCATAGCGAGTTAGCGTGCTATAAAGCCTGTGTTATACAGGTATAATAAAGTACCCTCACAAAGTTTAGACTGCAGCTTCTGCTTAATGAGGACATGACATGTCTATGCAGCTTGCTGGATCTTAGTGTAATGTAAACACGATGCAAAATTGGAGATAGCTGTCATAAACTGAAAGGACATACTGTAGCTGCAGCGTATGCCACCATTACGTTGTTCCTCCCCTTGAATGGAGTCTTGTTCATGAGCAACTCCCAAAGGACCATTGAGAAGCTGTAGACATCCACCTTATGATTGTAGTGTTTCTTCATTCCCAGTTTGAGTGGGTATGTGCTGAACAACTGATTTAGGTCAAGAGTAAGGCATATACTTAAGATTTTGGGTGAAGTTAACTATGTACCATAGCAGTACCTCAGGGGCCATCCACCGATAAGTACCAGCCTCAGTAGTCATTTCACCCAATTCCTCCTCCCTAGCTAAACCAAAATCAGCTAGCTTAATGTTATTCTTGTCCTCCGTGAGAAGTAGATTGCCTATAATATGCAATAGAGATTTTAGATATAAAACAAAAAGGAACAAAACCATTAAGAATGCCTTGGGGATGTTTACAACTAGCTCAAACCTAGATGTAGGCACAATACAATTTCCATGGACAATATTAAAAAATATGCCTATGTTTTAGATGCCTATGTTTTAGAGTTTAGAATATGACGGTTTTCCAGACTGAAAGGATGAGCATATCTGTCTGTCACCAACAGAAACGGTTTCCATACCAACAATCACCAACCACTAAATCTTAACACAAAATAAACAAATTACGACACAGAATGACTCTTTCTCAGTACATTTCAACTTAATTGTTTATTAGGGTGGAACACATCTTACAAAATATTTGTAATTCATTAACTCTATGTTAAATTTCTCAATGGTTTACTTGAGGTCATCTTAGCAGAAAAAACTTCAACATACCAAAAAAGGATCAAAGTCAACTTTATAATTGTTTTCAAACAATAAGGAGCCATTCAGAAATTAAACATTCGTTTTTGGAGGATCCGTTGACTACTTCCTAAAATAAAATAAAAAAATGCTACTGTACAAATTTCCAAAGAATTAGAGGGGGTAACCGTATTAAATAGACCCAAGTTAGGTCCCTTAATGCTACATTTATAGGTGTGTGACTGGAAAGTCGGGGGAGCTTGTGCCCCCCCCCCCTCCATCTTAACGTGGCTCCGCCACAGAAGCCGTTGCCAGAACTCGTAGGAGGACAGCCTTAAACAGTTCACTGTAATAAAACATACAAAATGAAGCAAGATTGGAGATGATAAGTGTGAAGGATTACTGGGCTTCAAGTCACGGTGAATGATGCCATTTGCATGCAAATATTCCATTGCGCGAGAAATTCCCAATGCAAAACTAATGGAGACCCGCAGATCTGGACTCTTTGGACGGATGCTCCACAAGTACTTCTGAAGAGTACCACCTCTCATAAGCTCTGTGATTAGCATCATGGTTGGTGCCAAAGAGACGCCAATAAACTGTTTCACCAAAGCAGCTTATCTCAGCAACTAAACAAAAGATCATAGATGCTTTACCACAAGATTGTTTGTGCCCAGTTTGTGAGAAGAGGAAAGAGCAAAAACGTAGGAAACATGCATTTTAAAATATAAAACTTGAGATACCCCAACATAGATTAAGAAATGCATTTAGAAAAAAAGCAACTAATAACATCATCAAAAATTGAGATTCATAAACGTTTATTCCCAATGGTGATTTTGTAGCACCTGGTAATTATGAGAGTCCAACCATTTTTTCAGCTACTATGGGATTGGATGCACAAATCCTTCTGTGCTCATCTTCAAAATTCTACGCCAAGTATGTTATCTGTTTGTAGAATGTTTCAAAGTACCAACCAATACTGATACAACTTAACCAAGTTGTATCCAACTCGGCACAAATATCATCTAAACCACAAGTCTCACTTAACTCACGGTTGACTCGGAGACGCCTCACAGGTCAACCAAGTTGTCCAAATCTCTCACCGTGTTGGTTTTCTTTTCTATCTAGCATTTCATGTTTATTGCCCTATGTCTCAGTGTCTTCCGAGTCAACGGTCGGTACCACGTCCTTGAACCATGATTTGTAGCTAGCCATATTTTATTTTCAGCAATAAAGTTCAACTGGTTTTCCCGCGATTAATATCTCAAAAACAAACAAGGGGCCAATAATGAAAATATTGACCAAATTGGGTAAATGGGTATAGGTGGTAACGAAGCAGTATTTAAGATTATCACATACAATGGCTGCGCATTCACCATTTGTACAACCAATTACAATGACAATATCTAGGAAATCTGAAGTGGTAAAAGGAGTCGATATTATAACTTGAGGCCATTTTTAATTACTCAGTTGGCTATTTAAAATCAAAGAACAATCGACTACTGAAAAATCTAGCGGACAGGCCCAAGACACAATAATCAGCAATATGTGCGCATCATATTAATTATTAAGTTCTGAGAAATGGTAAAATCAACATCGAAACAATATTCAATGGTCTAGCCATAAAAATTCAGATTGAGCACTAAAGGTGCAAAGCTAATATTTTTTTATTTACATACTGCATCGGAAAGTCACCCTAAAATTGAAAAAGAAAAAGTCATTCGTGACACAAAACTACTGACCAGAGATTTACTTTCCGGGACAATGTATACAATACACACTTTCTACAATTGAAGGTACAACTGCCTTAATGTGCTCTCGGCTGGGCATATATACGGTGGTCAGAGAGCAACTGAGTTATGTACTGCATCCACAGCAAGTATTAATATTGTATCCCAGCATGTATATGTCCATAGATAGCACTAAATCTACACAGATGGGAAAAAATCTATGATACTAAATGGAAATAAATACAACCTTCCATAGAATTTGGGGCGTCTGTGCCTATGTCTTGCAGGAGAGCTAGACAAAACTTATCTGGTTGATTAATGAAATATTCTGACAAGGTAAGGTGTATGAATAGTTAAATTGAAATGACCCAACTAAATTTCCAATTTTTTTTGGGCAAATGGCTCATATAACAAGGTGCACTCGTACAACAAAATTAATCTAAAAGCTTTCATGAGAAATGATAACAGGGAACTTCAAGTTATCGTACATAGGAGCAAAGTAACCCATCCCCAGTACTTGGAATGGTGTCCTCGTTAAATTGAGAGTAGTTGAGAATTATTGAGAATTAACAGTAGTGCTTTGGCTTATGATTTGGATAGTTGTTATCTTACCTCATCTGAAAATAAAGGATACCTATCTCCTATATAAGAATTAGTAACCTCATATTGGAAATTAAGATAATTGATCAAACTAATCTGTGCAAAAAGATACCATTACCCAAATGAAAATGAATGATCAAGTATCACTGGGAAAAGAAGAACATGGAAAAATAGCACATGTAACAACCACAGATGCAGATTTCAATGCATACCCACAAATACATGTCCAAGAAACCAAAAGAAACTACCTGTGTAACATTTTATTTTAAAACGTTCTTTTAAATAGGCACTTGCCACTCAGTGTACCTTCACAATGTTATCATGCTTGACTCCGGACAGCATTGTAACCTCCCTCTCAAATTTCTCTTGGCGTTCAGGACTCACGGCTGATGAATTGTCTGGCTGTATTACTTTTATTGCGACGGGCTCAGATTTATACCTTTGAAAAAATAATCAAACATAAACAAGGATAAGAATATCAAGAAAATATGCATCTCCAGCAGTATCACAAAGTAATGCACAAATAAAAAACTAAAATGATTTCCAAAAATGTCATTTCCCAACAATAGTTCAACCATAAACTGTTGCACTCACTATTTTGTGTAAGATACCAATAAAAAATTTTGTTTTGCGCAAATAACAACAACATCAATTTATGTCTAACAGCAGTTGCACAAATGCTAGCAACAGCATGAGCATATTTATCCAAGTTAGACAAGTGAGGAACAATTTTAGCAACAGATTTCAAGAGAAATTTGGAAATTGTTTGATAGATCATTTATTTGATGATCACAAAACAAATTGGCAATAAAGTCTCTAAAAGTCAAAGCCAGATTTTAATTGACCCCCCCTCCAAGCATCACTACAATACAAAACAATATTACAGAATTTATAACCCTTCCCAAAACAGAATTCTACTAATGAATTTTAGTCATCAAAATATGTTTATGCGGTATAGTCTTTTCTTAGCTTCATGAACATTTCCTTTAGCATGTCCTGTATACCCACGGTGCCTTGGACTAAATTCACACTAATCGTGCCGGTGTAATTGGTAATTGCACTGTACATCTGCAAATCATCTCACTGAATTTCTGGTATACAATGCTCAACAATAGCAAACCTTTATTATTTAAAGACACATTCAATCTAAACCTATTGTCACTGTCTTCTTGCCAATCATCCATATCTGTAAGGCCTGGCCAAAATTGTCACCATCCCATTATAATTTTGCATGTAAATCATAGGTATAGACCCATCCTCCAACTACCAGCAAATATCACTTAAACCAAAATTCCATGGACAATTTGCTTTCCATTTCTCCCACCCTAAGGGAAAATGGATCCAAGATAACAAAACAATCAGCTTTGGGAATCCTTAGCTATCAATCTTTACTATGGTAAATTGACCCAGTGCACGAGGCTCCCGTCTCTGTCGGGTCGGGGGAGGGTGGGCCTTGGCGCCACGATAAGATTGTTTCATGCATCCTTTTTTTCAGCTAAATCTTTTATTCTAGAAACAACACATGAAATAGGAGGAATTCTGAAAAAAAATCTATTTAACACAATTTAATCAAATAGAGAAGTACACAGTGGCAGAGCCACGATATCGATTCATGCTAGGCCAATAAATTTCACCAATTGATATAGATATTACAGGTTTGGACATAGTGATACACGATTGAGGAAAATAATGAGAAAGTATATTAAGTGCATACATAATAAATATATCAATAATCAAAACAAAGTTCCTAAAAGAAAACAAAAACTAACATCATTCACCCTCAATAAGATATGGAACAAAAGAATAAAAAACACAATTCTTGTGTCCTAGTGCATTACACCTGCATCTCCTAAGCAAATAAGGCTCGACAATATTTCATGTCCCGAAGATAATGACCAATTGATTTTGCGAAATTTATGAGTGATTTTCCTTTTCAATATACATTATCAATGACTCCACCTATAGATTGTCATTCATTTAACAGAAACTCCTATTTCTAACGATATATGGATAAAAATAATTCCCATGCCTAACAAGAATTAGTGATATGAGTGATCATTGCAATATAACTCATAACTCACGAATTTTTTGACTTATTCAAGAAATAGGTGAATAAGAAATGGATGAAGTTAGACTTTTCATGGCGATTTCTAAAGACTCATATTTGTCTAGTCCTTCACATGCTAGGATCACCAAATGGCAGGGGGGCACTTGCCCAGCCTGGCCAGTGGCCTCATAGTGGCTCTGCCACTGGAAGTACATGACTCATAGAAAACAATTTCATTGCACCCATAAATTAGACTACCTTAACTTTTGTCATACACAGCAAGACCCTTAAATTATTTCCAACACAAGGCGTGCATGCTATTTGAATTAGATATGAAAGAAAACATTTTGGTAGTTTTACAAATTAAACGTATGCCTATGTCATGGTTGAATTCATTTACACTGCTCAACTCAAGTCAATAGTCTTTAACTCCAACTACCTGTGTCAGCTGCATAAATTCTTTGAGTACTAATAGAAATACTAAGGCTATAGTGGAGAAAATCTTAACACGTATTCACAGGTAATCTTCCCCAGATAACCATAATCTCAAGAATTTTTCCGTTACGTAACTCAAGCAATGTCTTATCTCATTGCATGTGTATTGTACAACACATGGCTAAATTGGACAGAACGCCATAATAGCTCGTGGCTATATTGAACAGAACGCCATAATAGCTCATTAATGGAACAGCATACGCACCCCCACGTACCTTCACAATAATATTTACTTTGACCATGAACTACCTAATTCATGCTAAACAGAAGTTCCAAACAATGTCAAATGTGTACAAAACATGCTTCTTATGCATTCCTTATCTGGACATCATCAATTCTAGAATGCACATAGCAAGCTAGAAAATCCAAGTACTTTCCCTTTGTCAACTATAATTTGTACAATGACCCTAGTTTACTAGCAGACTACCCATTATGCTCAAGAATAAAGAGTTCAATAGTTCCTCATTCAAATGATAACAGACCTATAAACAAAGCATTACAGAAAACAATCAACTGCTTAAGGTTTCAAGGGGGGAAAAGCAGATAAACCCGAAAAAGCAGAGAACATTATTCCTGAAAATAAAATGACTAACAGACACTCAGAGACCAAAATACAGAGAATCCACTAATTATTTCTAACAAAAGAGGTTCCATCAACGAAAGCAAAATCAAACCCAACATGCAAACAATCAAATTGAACCAAACAAATAAAAAAACTCAATTGCATGACTAACCANAGTGGCAGAGCCACGATATCGATTCATGCTAGGCCAATAAATTTCACCAATTGATATAGATATTACAGGTTTGGACATAGTGATACACGATTGAGGAAAATAATGAGAAAGTATATTAAGTGCATACATAATAAATATATCAATAATCAAAACAAAGTTCCTAAAAGAAAACAAAAACTAACATCATTCACCCTCAATAAGATATGGAACAAAAGAATAAAAAACACAATTCTTGTGTCCTAGTGCATTACACCTGCATCTCCTAAGCAAATAAGGCTCGACAATATTTCATGTCCCGAAGATAATGACCAATTGATTTTGCGAAATTTATGAGTGATTTTCCTTTTCAATATACATTATCAATGACTCCACCTATAGATTGTCATTCATTTAACAGAAACTCCTATTTCTAACGATATATGGATAAAAATAATTCCCATGCCTAACAAGAATTAGTGATATGAGTGATCATTGCAATATAACTCATAACTCACGAATTTTTTGACTTATTCAAGAAATAGGTGAATAAGAAATGGATGAAGTTAGACTTTTCATGGCGATTTCTAAAGACTCATATTTGTCTAGTCCTTCACATGCTAGGATCACCAAATGGCAGGGGGGCACTTGCCCAGCCTGGCCAGTGGCCTCATAGTGGCTCTGCCACTGGAAGTACATGACTCATAGAAAACAATTTCATTGCACCCATAAATTAGACTACCTTAACTTTTGTCATACACAGCAAGACCCTTAAATTATTTCCAACACAAGGCGTGCATGCTATTTGAATTAGATATGAAAGAAAACATTTTGGTAGTTTTACAAATTAAACGTATGCCTATGTCATGGTTGAATTCATTTACACTGCTCAACTCAAGTCAATAGTCTTTAACTCCAACTACCTGTGTCAGCTGCATAAATTCTTTGAGTACTAATAGAAATACTAAGGCTATAGTGGAGAAAATCTTAACACGTATTCACAGGTAATCTTCCCCAGATAACCATAATCTCAAGAATTTTTCCGTTACGTAACTCAAGCAATGTCTTATCTCATTGCATGTGTATTGTACAACACATGGCTAAATTGGACAGAACGCCATAATAGCTCGTGGCTATATTGAACAGAACGCCATAATAGCTCATTAATGGAACAGCATACGCACCCCCACGTACCTTCACAATAATATTTACTTTGACCATGAACTACCTAATTCATGCTAAACAGAAGTTCCAAACAATGTCAAATGTGTACAAAACATGCTTCTTATGCATTCCTTATCTGGACATCATCAATTCTAGAATGCACATAGCAAGCTAGAAAATCCAAGTACTTTCCCTTTGTCAACTATAATTTGTACAATGACCCTAGTTTACTAGCAGACTACCCATTATGCTCAAGAATAAAGAGTTCAATAGTTCCTCATTCAAATGATAACAGACCTATAAACAAAGCATTACAGAAAACAATCAACTGCTTAAGGTTTCAAGGGGGGAAAAGCAGATAAACCCGAAAAAGCAGAGAACATTATTCCTGAAAATAAAATGACTAACAGACACTCAGAGACCAAAATACAGAGAATCCACTAATTATTTCTAACAAAAGAGGTTCCATCAACGAAAGCAAAATCAAACCCAACATGCAAACAATCAAATTGAACCAAACAAATAAAAAAACTCAATTGCATGACTAACCAAACCCAAGAACAATGAGCCAAGAAAGAAAAGCTGTCAAGATATAAAAAAAAAAAAATAGTAAAGAATGGAACTCACGATCCTTCGTAGACAATGGAGTAGGGGCCTTCACTGATCATGGACCCAATGAATAGCTGGTAGGGATCGATCAACCACTCCTTTTCAATCTTTACAAAGCTGTGGACCCCCAAATCATCACGCCCACCAAAAACACCCTCTATGTCATCAAATGAAGATGAGTGAGATAGTTCAAAGAGATCGTTTTCCAAACCCAAACGGTCAGACATTTCTATAAAGCAACTGTTACATTACAAGAGAGAGAGAGGTGAACGAGAAAGAGAGAGAGGTGAACATATGCAGTGTTTATATATATCAGAGAGTTGTTTTTGGGAGATGTACTTGAATGACTAACAGCGATGGAAACGAGAGGGAAAATCTTCTATCTTTAGTAAATTATTAATTTTTGTAATCTATAATTAAATTAATTAATTTGGATTTAATCCGCTGCACCGATATTGGATAAGGGGGGAAAAGATTCAACCGGATGGATGCCACGTGTAGGGTCAAAAAGGTTCAGTAGTTTTTAAACATTTGAATACCCAACCACGAAATCAAATGAGATTTTCTTTTTTATTATTACTAGTCATAATCCGTGCACGAAGGTACGATAAAATATAAAATTCGAGCGTTCAAAAAATCGATTCCACCATATTAAATTTTTTCAAAATATATTACTACAAATTAATAAAATTTTAAATAATTAAATATATGATAAAAAAAAGTGATGTGATTTTTAAAAAAGAAATATATAAATGATTAAATATATGATAGAAATAAGTGATATGATTTGACGTTTAAATCTGACAAATGAATGATGGGTGAGGTAAGTGATTGGTGATAGTTTTAAGAAAAAAAATATGACTGAAATAAAATTCAAACATACTTCTATTTTATTATATAAATAATAATAATAATAAAAATAAATCAAACCCTTTGCCAGAATCAAGATGGTCAACCCTCGACGACAATTCAAATAATAACAGTAACGGGTTATAAATTTAGATTTTTGGAGTCTAAATTTTGATAATATTTTGAGATTAGGTTATGAAGGATTTATTTCTCATAAATATTTAAATCCCGACTTCAATGACTTACCTTTGATCGAATTGGAATAAAATTTAATCGAAATATGCGTAAACTGATTCGAACCATCTTATCATTAAACTAAAAAAAAATTAACTCAAGACTTCTAAGTTATTTTTCTTAACTTTTCTATGTTTCGAATTTCTTAAAGCAATGGATTAGTCTGCCCCATGGACATCTCCCAGCCTTACAAGAGTCGGACATTAAGACAATTAGATCAAAATTTATGGATGTAATATGAAGAAAATGATTTAGGGAGAATTATACACATACTTTCTAAGGTTTGTCAGTTAATCATTCAGATTTTTTGATATTTGAAATATTAAACACAGACTCACTAAGGTTTGTAGGTACGTAACACTTAAACTTCTGTTGTCAAATGTATTTGTTACTAAATTACACTCAGATCCTTTGAAGTTTGTAGAAATATAATATTTAGACCCTTTAAATTTAAAATATTATACTTAGATAAAAAATAAATATTTTAAATTTTACAACACAAATTCATATTCTATTGTATCATTTATTGAAACAAAATCAAAATAAAAACCATTTTTTTCTTAAAAACTCATAATTAGTATACACGTATATTATCTATTGGAATAAAACTAAAAAATCAAACCAGGGATTTAAGTCATTCATAATAGAGTATGAATTTTAACCAAAATTCATGTTCTATTAGGTCATTTATTGAATTAAAATAAAAAAGAAAAATCTAATTTTTCTTAAAAAATTATAATTAGTATATAATTATACTATCTATTAGAATAAAATTAAAAAAACAAATAAAGGGTCAAATTGTAATGTATACAAATATTCTAAATAACCAAATTAAATTCCAATAAATAATATAATTGTATACTAAATATGATTTTTTAAGAAAATATTATATTTTTAATTTTAATTTTATTTCAATAAATATCATAATAGAATATGAATTTTTGTTGCAAAATTTAAAAATTTTGATATTTTATCTTTGATTTGAGTATTTTTTTTGACTAAATATAACATTTTAAACTTGAGGGGTTTAAATATTGCACGCTTACAAACTTTACGGAGTTTGGATGTAATTTACTAACGGATACGCTAACGACATTGATAGTAAAAGTCTAAGTGTTACACGCGTACAAATTTTAAGGGGTTTGTGTGTAATATTTTAAATGTCAATGAATCTCAGTAATTAAGTAATAAACCTTAAAGAGTCTAAACGTAATTCTCCCACTAATTTAAAGTGGTAATTTTGAAATTTCTGGGACCAAATATTCCGGGTGGTTTCATCTAATAACACTTCACTTTTCTATACTCTAAAACCTACATATAATTGCCCCTTGTTTAGGCTTAAAGTGCAACATCTAAAGGCATTAACAATTTAGTAAAAAAAGACAATAATTTCATTTGTCTTTTTTTTTATTTTTTGGCCATTTTTTTTTTCTTTTTGAAATTTTGTACAAGTTGAGAAATATATACAATACATAGAAAAAGAGAGAAAACGATTGTTTTTTTTTAAAGATAGAAAACGTAAGGAATATAGTATGTGTAATGTATAAAAAGTTGTTTTTGATGAGGTGCTACTTTAATATTATTTCAAGTTGTTTCAGTTTAGTTCAAAATTGTAAAGATTTATATGTAAGTTTATAAGGTATAAAGATACAATGTGTTATTGGGTCAAACTATAGACACGTTAATGTATAATGTTCCAAGAGGGGGGAGGAGGGCAACTACGATCATGCAGTTTTGATCGAAGAAAAATTCGTAATCAGTTAAACCCAAGAAATCAGGAGGTAATGCCGACTAATGCGATGAATTGTATGTGGGGATAGAGCTTGAGTGTTAATCTTGTTTACTAGTTAAAGTGCTCAAGCTAATTTTTGTTTACATTGACTCACTACTTAGTTTTGCCAAGATGGATATTCAAAACTCATAGTGAGAAAAATGGGGAAGATTTCTGAGTAATATTTGGATATATCAAAGCTTTGAATTGTTTTTCTTTCCTTTTAAGACATAAAAACAAAAATCTCTTCATTTTATCATTGCCTTCATTCATGAAAGAGTTCAAAACACCATACCATGGCTCTGTTTCCACTACTTGATGACAGCAATGTCACTGTATTTATGGGACTGTCTACATCATAGTTGAGAGATGATTTCACCGCCATCAAATCTGGCGTCTGTCTGCGATTCTGGCCATTACTCTTTTCCTCAATTCTATCCCCAATCAGCAATAACAGAAAAGTAGAAATCAAATCGACCAACCAAAACATGGGTGAGAGGAGTGCCAGCAGCCCAACTTATGCTGGAGGACTGCCCTGTGTCACACTCTTCAGACAAAACCCGCCCTGCACTCTCTATTGGTTGGCATAGGATCCTATATGGTGTCCATCATTTGCTGATGATATAGTTCTTATGTATCAAACGAGTAGAAACCTACCCCCCTATAGATGGAGCAAAGTGAATGAATTGGAATGTGTCGGAGGAATGTTGTGTGATCATAGAATCCGTGCCAGTTCCGAGCAAAAATTCTTTAGAACAGCTATAATGTCAAGTTACTGTATGTTGTAGGATTTTCGGGTAGTTAAAGAACATATTAGAAATGAGGGTAAGTGAAACGATGATGTTGATATGGAAAGGTGACCGACTGTTAGGATCCATGGTGGCCTCACATTGCCTGCAATGTAGATGATACTGAGGAAAAAGTGGAGAAGGTTCCAAAAAATAATCAGACTTAGGATTCTGTGCGTGCAAGATCCTGCACAATATAAAAAACGGGAACAGATCTCTCCCCTGGTGAACTTTGAGTGAGCCGGTTGAGTGGCCAAACACGCTGCTTGACACAGTCTGCAAGGTACGGTGGCAACCTGGAACGGCAAAGGAAGATCCTGGGAAAGGAAGAACGATCCTGTATGTGTGAAAGGCTTTCCTGGAATAAAGAGGAACAAGTTAGAAGGGTGCCGGAGTGTTTTCCGGCGTATCCCCTCCGACGGTCTAGTCAGTCTTTGAATGAGAGAGAGGAAGAAGAAAACACTGAGGAAGTCTGTATTGTAGTAGAGAGATTGTGATTGCATACCCGCTTTGCCTTTTGGGAGGAGTATTTATACCTTAGAAGCTCATGATTGCTGTCAGTGTGGTCAGTAGGTGATCATCAGGCACAGGTAGCGTGTGTATTGATTTGATGAGAAATGTCTTCTCTAATTGACTGCTCGGGGTCCCGAGCAATCAATGCTGAGTCGTCGGGACGCCGACGGTACAATATGCTCCTTTCGGGAAGGATGCAATAAATGCTCTGTAACAGGAGCATTTATTGCCTTTCATATCCGAACCTTACCGCATTGAATGCGGTCTCGTCAACAGAAGGGTGCAATTAATTGTTTGCTTTCCAAAGCGCGTGTCAGCAACAGCATGCGGTTTGTCTGTTTTTGATGTGATATCATATGCCACGCGTCCATCACGTATTGGCTATGACTTCTGTATTCCAGCATGTTCTGACATTACTTGTGTAAGACGAGGTCATGATGAATAGTCTAGACTGGCATAGGCTGATGTCCCGTACGTCAGTAGCTTTATCTGGGAGTAGAGGAAGCGTTCAGGATGGAGTGACCCTCGGCACCGAGGAAAGGCTCACCTCGGGGACCGAGGGTGGTATGTTTCCGAGGTACACGGTGACCGAGGACACGTGTTGTTGTATAATACACCGAATGCGTGATCCTATATGAGAGGTACCTCGGGGTAAAGGACGCTCTTCGCCGATGGTGCTTACATCCGGGCAACACTGTTTCCAAAAAACCCGAGGACACGTGTCTTCATCTTAGGGCTTTTCAGAAGAGTCCCATCAACTGCCCCCCAGCCTTCGATCTTCTGACACCGAGGACACGCGTTGTAAGGAGACGAAGGGTTTTCCAACTGCCATCCGTCCTTCATTATGGCCTCGAGCAGCTTTCCCCGGCTTGGGACGTCGTGCGCATTAAATGCGCTGTTTTGGTTCTCCCGCCCAATGATGACAATTTCCCCCTATATAAAGGGGGTTCTTCTCTGGTTTCCATCGTTTTGCCATTTCGATCTTTTACCCAGAGTACGCCTTTCCTGATCTTTCGCCGGAGTTCTTGTTTCCTCTGCCATCGTCGACTGCTCTTTCTCTCAAAATCACAGA